ACCGCGCTCCACAGGTCAAAGCCTGTCACTGGAAGAGGTGGAGGACATTAATGGGGTGAGGACATTAATGGGGTGAGGACATTAATGGGGTGAGGGGCAGCAGCACCCTGACAGTGCCCCCCGCCCATCCCTGTCCTACCTGCGTTGAGGGCCAGTGCGGGCGCATAGAGCACCACCCCCATGTAGATAACCTGTGAGGAGGGGAGAGCAGTGCTGAGCTGTGCCAACCCCCCAAACCCCAAACTCTGCACCCCCATACCTCCTGTGAGGAGGGGAGAGCAGTGCTGAGCTGTGCCAAACCCCAAACTCTGCACCCCCATACCTCCTGCAGGGAGGGGAGAGCAGTGCTGAGCTGTGCCAAACCCCCAACCCCCAAACTCTGCACCCCCATACCTCCTGTGAGGAGGGGAGAACAGTGCTGAGCAGTGCCAAACCCCAAACTCTGCACCCCCATACCTCCTGTGAGGAGGGGAGAACAGTGCTGAGATGTGACAAACCCCCAAACCCCCAAACTCTGCACCCCCATACCCATGTAGATGACCTGTGGGGAGGGGAGAGCAGTGCCAAACCCCAAAACTCTGCACCCCACCCCATGTAGATGACCTGTGGGGAGGGGAGAGCAGTGCTGAGCTGTGCCAAACCCCAAACTCTGCACCCCACACCCCAACCTCTGCACCCCACGCCCCTAACCCCACTCACCATTTGGAAGATGAAGGTGACAGTGCCCAGGACTCGCACCGTCTTGTTGAAGCGCAGCTCCAGGTACTGCAAGGAGGGAGATCAGGGCACTGACTGCAGTGTCCCCCACACCCCCTGCACACCCCACAGCCCTCGTGCTCACCTCATAGGTGCTGGTGATGCGCAGGCGGTAGAAAACGGGAATGAAGATGTGTGCTGGGATGAGCAGCCCCAGGAAATAGGAGCAGCCCAGGAACCAGTACTCGGTGCCGAAGCGGAAGATCTCGGCTGGCACGCCCAGGATGGCCACGGCCGACTGGAAAGAGGCCAGCAGGGACAGGGCGACGGGCAAGCAGCCCATGTCGCGGTTGGCCAGCAGGAACTCCTGCACGGTGCGCTGCCGGTCACCGCTCAGCGCGTAGAACAGCCCGATGGCCGAGGAGAGAACCAGCAGCAGCGCGAAGATGCTGTAGTCGATGGCGGTGAACTCCATGGCGAGCGCGTCCCCGTTGTGCCGCCCCGCCGGTGCCGCCGCTGCCCGGCCGCCCGCGCCCCTCCGGCCTCATGGGCACCGCTGACCCCGGCACGTCCTGAATGGCATCGGCCTGGCACTGCCACTGCCACTGTCACTGCCAACTGCGGGAGGGACGCGTCAGTGCCGCCGGGACCTTCGCTCGCTCGCTCTCTCTCAGCCTCAAGGACCCGATGTGGGGGAAAAACAGCCCGAGCCTCCTCCTCCTCCTCCCTCTGGGGCGGGCTCGGCCACCCCCGGGCCGTCCCACCTGCCCCGCTGAAGGAAACTGGAGCGTCTTCAAAGAGCACAGAGACAATGACTGCAAAAACAGTCGCACCCGGACCCCCGCGGCACCGGCACCGCCGGCTCCGGTAGAACGGCCAAAGCCAACAGAGGCGCCTCCGGGA